CGAGACAGGGTTCTCTGTGGCTTTGGAGCCTGTCCTGGAACTAGCTCTGTAGACCAGGCTGGTCTCGAACTCACAGAGATCCACCTGCCTCTGCCTCCCAAGTGCTGGGATTAAAGGCGTGTGCCACCATAGCCCGGCAAGATTTAAAATTCTTGTCATACAAGTCTTTCACTTGTTTGGTTAGAGTTACTCCAAGATATTTTATGTTATTTGTGACTATTGTGAAAAGCAATGTTTCTCTGATTTCTTTCTCAGTCCATTTATCATCTGTGTACAGGAGGGCTACTATTTTTTTTTTGAGTTAATCTTGTATTCTGATACATCACTGAAGGTGTTTATGAGTTGTAGAAGTTCCTTGGAAGATTTTTTGGGGTCACTTATGTAAACTATCATATCATCAACAAATAATGAGAATTTAACTTCTTCTTTTCCAATTTGTAGCCCCTTGGCTCCTTTTGTTGTCTTATTGCTCTAGCAAGAACCTTAAGTACTATATTGAATAGATATGGAGAGAGTGGACAACCTTGTCTTGTTTCTGATTTCAGTGGGATTGCTGTGAGTTTTTCTCCATTTATTTTTTGTTGGTTATTGCTTGCTATATATTGCCTTTATTATGTTTAGGTATGTTCCTTGTATCCCTGCTCTCCAAGACCTTTATCATGAAGGGATGATATATTTTGTTGAAGGCTTTTTCAGCATCTAGTGAGATGATCTTGTGTTTTTTTTTTTTCAGTTTATTTATGTAGCAGGTTACATTGACAGATTTCTGTATGGTAAACCATCCCTTCATCTCTGGGATGAAGCCTACTTGGTCATGGTAGATGATTTCTCTGATATGTTCTTGGATTTGGTTTACCAGTATCATGAGTATTTTTACATCAATGTTCATGAGAGATATTGGTCTGTAATTCTCTTTCTTAGTAATGTCTTTATGTGGTTTGGATATCAGGGTAATTGTAGCCTTATAAAAAGAGTTTGACAATGTTCCTTCTGTTTCTATTATGTGGAACAATTTGAGGAGTATTGGTATTAGTTCTTCTTTGAAAATCTTGTAGAATTCTGTGCTGAAACCATCTGTCCCTGGGCTTTTTTTTTTTTTTGTGGGAGACTTTGATGACTGTTTCTATTTCTTTAGCAGTTATAGGTTTATTTAATTTACTTATCTGGTCTTGATTTAATTTTGGTGATATTTATCCAGAAAGTTGTCTATTTCCTTGAAGTTTTCCAATTTTGTGGAGTACAGGTTTTCGAAGTATGACCTGATGATTCTCTGGATTTTCTCCATGTCTGTTTTTATATCCTTCTTTTCATTTATGATTTTGTTAATTTGGATATTCTTTCTCCGCCTTTTGGTTAGTTTGGATAAAAATTTGTCTATTATGTTGATTTTCTTGAAGAACCAACTCTTGCTTCATTGATTCTTTGTATTGTTTTCTTTGTTTCTACTTTGTTGATTTCAGCTCTCAATTTGATTATTTCGTAACTTCTAGTCCTCCTGGGTGAGTTGATTCGTTTTGATCTAGAGCTTCTAGTGTGTGTACACACACACAAACACACACACACAAAGATAAATGTATATATAAACATAAATGTATGTATATATGTGTGTGTGTGTGTATATATATATATATATATATAATTACAGCTTGTTCCAGTCATGATTCCATGCTGTTTATTCATTCATTCATTCATTCATTATTTTTTTTTGAACTTAACGACTTTATTTGTCGCAAAATACAATATGGCTGTGGGAACAGCAAACTCCGAAGACAAAAGAAAGAAAAAAACATTGTTCTATCTAATTTATAATTAACAGGAAGGGGAGTCGCTACACGAGTAACACACGGGTAAGTTTTAGGGAGCGTCTTTTCTAGTGCCCACACCTGCCTCGTTTTGAGCCATGGAGAGACGCGGTGGAAACGAAAAGCATGGTTACAGACTCCCCACGCAACAGTACACTCTTCAGAAGTAGCAGACGCCTGCTTGGCCTGACATTCAACGCAAAGATCCATAATGTGGTTCCTGCAGATGGCACAGTTATCAACCACAATATCCCAGGCCCAGAGGGCTACCGCATTCCACTTTTTCACTTCAAAGCGCTTCTTGCCCGCGCCGCTGTTGGTGCCGCTGGGGGTATCCACATCCATCGCTGCCGCCATTTTGAAAACACACTGTCTCATTCATTCATTATTATTCTGGGGATCAGATTGAAGGTCCTGCACACGTCAGGCAAGTTATCTATGACTCAAGTAAATCCCAAGTCCTGATTCCATTCATGATTGGTCTGACTTTTTTTTTTTTTTTTTTCTTTTTTTCGAGACAGGGTTTCTCTGTGGTTTTGGAGCCTATCCTGGAACTAGCTCTTGTAGACCAGGCTGGTCTCGAACTCACAGAGATCCGCCGGCCTCTGCCTCCCGAGTGCTGGGATTAAAGGCGTGTGCCACCACTGCCCAGCTGGTCTGACTTTTTTTCTCTTGTTTTTGAGACAGTATCTCACATATTCCAAGCAAGCCTTGAACTCATTCTGTAGCCAAGGATGATTTTGAACTCTTGATCTTCTTATAGTCTACCTCCCAGGTGCTGGAATTACAGAAGCATGCCACCATGCTCACCTCTGTCTTTGCATTTGCTACACGGTCCCGATTTCATTTTTTTTTTTTAACCAATAATAGTGTAGACTTGGAATATCTGTCTGAATTGCGCCCAAAGACACAACAAGGTTAGACATGTTTCTATAGATTTCTCTCTCTCTCTCTCTCTCTCTCTCTCTCTCTCTCTCTCTCTCTCTCTCTCTCTCTCTCCTTCTCTCTCTGGTTTTTCAAGACAGGGTTTCTCTGTAGCTTTGGGAGCCTGTCCTGAAACTCATTCTTATAGACCAGGCTGGCCTCAAACTCACAGAGATCAACCTGCCTCTGCCTCCTGAGTGCTGGGATTAAAGGTGTGTGCCACCACCACCCATATAGAACTCTTAAAAACCTAATTAGTTTTGGTTCAAATATTTCTTGCAAAAAATAAAAAATAGAATGATGTGCTTGGTTACATCTGTGAGAGTCTACATTTCCTCTATAGCAGACTCCATGGGCATTGTCTCCAAGCCAAGGTCATATGTCTTTTTGGGAATCATGATATATATGACATGGTTGCATGTGAAATCTACCCCCGGGCTCATGAGGTTAAGCACTCGATCACCAGTTGGTGGCATTGTTTTGAGAGACTGTACCCTTGAGGAGTTGGGACTTAGCAGCAGTGCTTGGGGCGTGGCCTATGTCCCTCCATATGTCATCATATGCTTCCATCTCTAGAGTCCCTGTGACTCCTTTAATGATAGACTCTAGCTCAACCATGAACTCTTCCTGTCCCCAGCTGTGTTTTCCCTCAGGCATTTTGTCACGACAACAACAATAGTAGCTATATTCAGCTTACCCTGGAGTGATTGAGACATGGTCCTATCACAAGTCAGTCCTGTAGCAGCTGCATTTCTCATTTGGTGACACATGTTGAAATTTTCAAAACCATCATATATATATATACATATATCATACATATATATGCACTTATGACTCCTGTCTCCATTATTTCCTTACTAATGAGTTTTTTTAGAACTAATGATTTTTTCAGAACACTATTCAGTCTGTGTTGAAATCTCTATTGCTTTAAAAATACTTTTGCCTTGTTATTTATAATTAGGATCCAAGCAAGGTTTTAACAATTTGTATCTGTTTTCTATGCCTTTTAAGTATCCTTTAATTCATGAGATATTTTTCCATCCTCCTCCCTTTTATGACATTTATGGAAGAAACTGACTCATTTGTCTTGATGAATTTGCTATAAGCTGACTTTGGCTGTTGGCAACCTCGTGCTGTGATGTAATAAGTCCCTCTATTATGCACCTTTCTCGTCCTGTATTTTCAATACGAACACTGATCATGAGACATACAGTCTTGATTAGATTCCTACAGCTACAACACATCCTGTCTACCTCCTCTTGTACTGTCTCCAGAAGGCACAAAATATCTGGCTGTCTTGCTTTGACTGATGTGACACAGATCAGAATGTCCGCGTGTATCAGCATGATTCACTCATTGCAGTTGTCCCTCGGCATCTGCAGAAGGCGCAGCATGCGTCCAGGACTGTCCTGCAAATAAGAAAATCTGCAGATGCTCTAGGCCCCTGTATACGATGATTTATTATTACATAAGACATATATATATATATATATATATGTGTGTGTGTTTGTGTGTGTGTGTGTGTTCCCATATACTCTAGAAGAGCTCTACATTGTGTAAGTAGCCATTGTCTTACAATCCCCAGAGGCACTTGCTACCACCATCTCTGAACACTCCTAGACTCCCTGTAATCTTAGAGCATCTGGTCCGCTCAGAGCATCCCAGGACTCTGTCCCAGCAGTGAGCAGTACCTGCCACCAATAGTTAGCACCATTAGCTTAGGATTACTCTTGGATAGAATCCAGGCAAGAACTCATTTTTGGGTACCAACCCACAGTTTTTCACACATAAATCATTGATGGGTAAGAGGTTGAAATAGAATGACTCTTCGAAAAAAGAACCCATTTTTGGTGTTTATTTTTTAAAATTTACTCATTTATTTTTGTGATGGGCTCTATCTATCTATCAATCATCTATCTATCTATCTATCTATCTATCTATCTATCTATCTATCTATCTATCTATCATCTATCTATCTATCTATCTATCTATCTATCTATCTATCTATCATCTATCTATCTATCTATCATCTCGCTCTGTCTCTCTCTATCTTACATCAGGTTTGAAAGTGTTCAGATTACAGGTGTAGGTCAACATGGCCAGCTCAAGTCAAAGTGTTGGGATCTTGAACTTTTACACAGCTTTGCCCATGAACATATATCATCAGATAATGAGACTTTTACATGTATGTGTATTTATTTCTGTGTAGTGGGTCCATGGTTTCCATTTTATTTATTATTTATTTATTTATTGGTTTGTTTATTTGCCTGGTTTGGTGTTTTGAGACAGGGTTTCTCTGAGTAGTCCTGACCATCCTGGAACTCACTGTGTAGAGCAGGGGTGGCCTCAAACTCAAGAGATCTACCTGCCTCTGCTTGCCAAGTGCTGGGATTAAAGGTTTGTGCCACCACTGCCCTGCTATTTTTAGTTTTGTTAAGACAGGGTTTCTCTCTGTGTGTGAGATCGAGGACAGCCTGGTCTACAAGAACTAGACCCAGGACTCTTAGGGCTGTTACACAAAGAAACCCTGTCTAACAACTGGAAAAACAGAAACAGGGTTTCTCTGTGTGATCCTGGCTCTCCTGGAACTCACTGTGTAGACAAGGCTCGCCTCAAATTCAGAGACCCACTTGCCCCTGCCTCCTGAGTGCTGGGATTAAGGGTACGGACCACCACCACCTGACTGATTATTCTTTTTTAAAATGTCAAATACTCGCTGCATGTATGATGCGTGTGCATGATGTCTGTATGTAACCTATGCATGTTTGTGGGCGCCAGCATAGAGCCAGTTTTTCCCCTCCACTATGTGGGTCTAACACAGGGCATCAGGACTGGTAGCAAGTGCCTTTATCCCCTCTCATCCCCACTAGCCATTGCACTTGCTCTCAGAAGAGTTTTTAAACTTTCTCTAGTATTTAATATTATTTAGATTATAATTACATGGTTTTCCCTCTTCTCTTTCCTTCCTACCATCCCTCTTATGTACCCTTTCCCCATCATTCAAATTCATGGCTTGTTTCTTTTTGTGGTGTCTGTTTATATTTAGGAATATATGAAAACAACCTGCTCAGTCTATGTATGATACTTGTATGTTTTCAGGAGCGAGCCTTCGGTATCGGATACCACTTGGTGTGCTCTTCCCTGAGGAAGACTATTTCTCCACTTTCAGCATTCCTTAGTTGCTGAAGTTCTTTGTCTAGGGTTGAGGCCTGTTCCCCTTCCTCACTCGTGAGCTTGTCTATTGGTGTCATACCTACGATGGTCATATTTAGGAAGTCATATTAATGGGACCTCATAGTTGCAGCTTCTCTGACAAGGAGACACAGTCTCACTGCAAATTTCCTGATCATCTGTTCTTGCAATCTTTTCACCCTCTCTTCAGCAAAGATCCCTGGATCTCTTAGGTGAGAAAGTTCTGGTCTGGTTGTTTCAGTTGGGGATAGGCTACACGAGTCTTCTTTTTGATTGGTTCTACTTTTCTGTAATGGTCTTTGTCTGTTTTCTTGATGATGGGTAGGGAGTTCTCTTATCTTTGGATATGAGATATATATTTACCTCATTTGTTGAAATATGAGCGGCGGCGGGGCTGCGTCCCCAACACCCCGGCCGCTTGGCTAGCTTATGCCCGAAATAACAACACACAAACTGTATTCATTTAAAGAACTGCTTGGCCCACGAACTCTAGCCCTTACAGGCCAATTCTCGCACCTGGACTAGCCCATTTCTAATGATGTATGTAAGCACCCCAAGGTGCGCTTACCGGAAAGATTCTAGCCTAAGTCCATCGTGGGTTGCAGCTGCCTGGGAGAGCTGAGCATGGCGTCTCTGCTCCAGCAGAGCTGACGGGTCTCTCCGGAAGCAGAGCAGAGTCTGACCTCACTTCCTCTTCCGCCCAGAATTCTATTCTGTTTACTCCTCCCATCTATGTTCCAAGCTGAGGCCAAGCAGTTGGTTTATTATAACTTAACCAATGAAATCAACAGATTGATATATGACACTCCCACATCACTTCCCCTTTTTCTGTTTAAACAAAAAAAAAGAAGGCTTTAACTTAACATCCAAAGCTCTAGAAATGACAGAGACATCTCGCTGCCTGGACAGTCACCCAAAGTTCCTCTGTACCGTTGGGGCATCCATCTTCGGCCTACAGGCCCATAGTTTCCAGCAGACATTTCCACAATGCAGGAAATTTCAAAGGCAGTCACTATCTGCTTGTCCTGAAGAATGTCTTGCAGACTCTTTCATGAAGCAGGAACCCCGAAAGATCATCTCACCTTTAGGCAAGTTCAGCAGTCCTCTCTCTGCGGGTTCTCTGTGTCCAGTTTATGCAATAGTCCAGGCAAGAGCAGTTTCTTGCCAAATGGCTATCAAACTCCATAAGGATCCTCTTCGATGCCCATCTTCCTCTTGAAGTAGATTGGTGATGCCAGGAGCAGAGTGTCT